GTAAAACGCGCTCACACACTGCACGGAAGCAGTCTTCAGGGCAAATGCACTGAGAACAGAGGCGCTTTTAGAATCGTGTAACAGAGCTACAGTCGACTTGTGATACATGTGACGTTGTTCGAGCACCTGTCGTGGAGCGAAAAAATAGAGGCTTGCAACCCGGTTCTGATTGTAAATCTGTCTTCTCTTACTCCACACAAGATTCTCATTCCACAGTACGGGCGGTGGATTAGAACGGAGACCAGTTTAGTGCAACTGAACAAATATGATCCGAATACCAAAGTGCGGTGGATCCAATTGGCACAACTCACACCGTAAGAATAACAATAAATGACAACGGCAAAAGAGTGAGGCTAAAGGTAAATAGAGTGTAAAGAAAATGGAAGCAAAGAAGTGCGTTAAACTCAGCAGAATGGAACAAAAGATAAAAACCAAATGCAAGAAACCGAATACATGAACGCCGCTGACTGCGCCATGTCTGAAATGGTCTCTAACCACTGGTGTGGACCATCCCGAGGCCGCCAGTCACGAAGACGGCACGCACCAGCGTGACCAAGTCTCTCAGTCAATTTCTAAATGCTTCTATGCCACCTCGTGCTTTGGCCAAATTTGGTGCGGCCACGGTGTAGAATGTACGCCGAGAAAGCCGGTCAACAGGCATACGGAGAACATGGCCTAGCCAATGTAAGCGATTAAGTTACAGTAAACATTCGAGTGAGAAACCAGAAGGCTTCTTGCCAAAAACCAACTGGCGGACCTCAGCATTTCACACCAGGTGTTCCGACCAGACATGAGCAATACTTTGCAAGTACTGGTGGTCAAAGACGGCCGAGCGTTTAATGTCTTAGCTGCGAACTGGCCAGATCTCTGATCTATACAGTTGGGCCGGCCTTACCGCAGCGTTATACATCCTACCTTTCACTGACAGGCTGATATTCCGCAGCCTCCATTGATGGTTGAGTCTCTGGAAAGTCACACGGGCATTGCTGATAGTCGAATTAACTTCCTCAGTGAAGTGACCACCAGAGAGGACACAGCTCCCAAGGTAAGTGAACCGATCTCCCGCCTCCAGAGGCTAATTCAGTGATGGCTAAAACCGGAGGTGTGTCGGTTCAGTCCTGCTACAGTACGTTGCAGTCTGAAGCTGCAAAGCACATGCCGAAGCGTGTAGTGTTACGCGTCAGTCTATCCATCAATGTTTGTATAGTTACTGCGTCAGACCCAAGAAAAGCTATACCATCTGCAAAGTCCAGGTTTGTCAGTCGATCACCTGGCAGAACCTCCACTCCGGTACAGTCTGAAAAATCAGTCATACAGGATCATTCAGATCACAAGTTGAAGAGAAAGGAGAAATAGTACAACTCTGGCGAACCTCATTTGTCGTGGGGAACTCAGGAGACAGTTTCCCGTGGACGCTTACCCGACCTCAGGAATCACGGTAGAGACTACATAGTGGAAAGGAATTTAGCCGGTACGTCCTTCATGGATAAGCAATACTACAAGCCGGTGCGATCAAGAGTCGAAGGCGCTTTCAAGTCAAGGAAAACTACCACTGTCGGTCGTCTGTATGTGTGTCTCTGTTCTAACGCTTCGCGAAGAGTAAAGATGTAGTCGATGCAACAACGACTAGGCCGGAACCCAGCCTGGCTTTCAGTGATTCGGTTCTCAGGTGGACCATTAAGTCGTCGGATAACAATCCCCTTGAGAAGTTTGGATGTAATGGAAACAGGGCACTTTCACTGCTACCGTCAAGTCTACTTCTTTGTGGTCTAAACATATACTGCAAATTCCTTTCCTTGAGCATTACGTACCACGATCGGTTAGCCTCAAGTGGTTGGAACAGTCTCCTTTCATACATGTTCGAACGAATATGTTATAGTTGAAGATGAAATCCACACGGACGTTTAACAGTATGGAAACGATAGCATTCGAGTCAACAACGGTGAAATCGTTGATAGATGATGAATGAATAAATAAACACTCACACTCGGCGATGTGAGACACGCCTGTATCGGTTAGGTGCATAAGTGTCTAGAATGTGGATTAGGGAAAATAAAAATCAGATAAGATACCAACGTTAAGAAAGACGGAAATGGTACACAAAATAGTTAACAGAAATGGATTGATATTGGCTCATTTTCAACCACTTTTGCTCTCTCACGTACAACATTGTAAAACAACTAAGTCACATAGGTGATTATCGTGATGAACCAAATACTGGGTGATATAAAACCTGGACATTGTTTTCTGTTATGGAACAACCGAATAGCTTGAGCACGTTTTGTACACTGAACAACTTGTTGATGCTTTTACGAAATCAACGCTCAAGACTGTAGATATGTACTCCGACTGGAACCTATTCCACACTCCGGCGTATCTGAGAAGAAAAAAAGTTCGCAGGCCTGCTGGTCTTGAACTTGCATTCTGCTACCCAGCGTTCTTTAATTCGTGTGTTGTAAACGGCTGATTGTAATAATGTCATGCTGAGGTCGGAAACACTCAAATTTCTGTGCTGAAAAATATGACTAGGTCGTGCCTCATTCGCTGAAGTCAGAGCGGATCAAGGCTAAGCTTGTCACATCGTTTAAAATATTCCAGATTATAAGCAAGACCTAAAAGGCGTTTGGTAAATGCTCTCTGTATTTACCCAAATGCAATGCAATCGCGCTTTTTTGAGATACTGTGCATCATTGAACAATATTCCAAAGTGTTTCGAACAAGTGAGATATAAGACAGAAAAAAATCCTAGATAGCAATATGACCGTTGTCGAAACCCCGATTGAAATGCGGCAGTTGAGTGAAGTAGATGTAGTCTAATTTGCGTCAACTGCACACTACCCGATAATATCCACTCGGGTAGGCCATCTTTGGAATATCTGTTGTGTCGGTATTGCAAATAACGACTAGCTGTTAACAGAGACGATAAGAATACAGCCACCAAAAAGCAGTCAATGGTTCGTTTAGACACTGCGGTTCGGTACGCATGTTACGAAGACCCATGACACGTCTATTCTGAGATAGTGCAGAGAGGGAGCCAGTTGCTTGCCGAAAAGTCAGAAATAGAGAGCAGAGGTTGAGTGGTGACGTGATAGGAAATAAACCCCTAGTTCGGAAAAATAGGCAGTCCGTTAACGTGAATAGTGAAATCGAGAGTAAACTCTAGCTTCCATGGAGCACGTGAAAGAGGAAGGATACTCATGGTGGTTTATTCCGAGAGGGGAATTTTCTTGAAGGTCCCACTTCTATTCTTGTGCTTAACAATGTGGAGCACAACAGAATGATTAAAGGTTCTCTCGGGGGAAGTTAATCGAAGCCCCCGCCGATTGAGCAATCTAGTCGATAATGCGGTAAAGAGCAAGTTCATCTCCGAGGGTGACTGCAAAAACCTCACGGGGACCTGATCACGTACAAGTGACTTCATAGCAGGAAGGTTCAGTACACCGGTTCACAGCAGCTAGCTGTATTGGACATTTGCGACTTTAGTATTGAAGTGCGGTGGACCAAGCTGTCGAGCCACGCAAGAAAAAGCGTCTAATGAGGGTCACGGAATGTGATGCGCAAATAACCCAACTACAGTAGTGAGGCACGATACAAGAAATGTTGGAAACGGTGGAAACCAACAGGCGGAATGGAAACGAGCGATAACCTATAAAAGTATGTCAGTCTCCACTCCAGAATAAGTTATGACGGACGCGTGGTCAGTGACATGCCTTAATATGACTCGAAAAATGAATCAAGATAGGTAGCGCTTGTGTGCAGTAACCTAACCCCACATGGATCCGTTCCACTGCATCTGCAAGCATAACATGTATTTTACAATAGTATCGAGGGACCGAGGCATAGTGATTCAGGCGTCTGGCTTGCAATCTTTGACATTCAGTTACTTTCTCGTCGTTTTCATAATGCGTATTCTTTTTAGTGGCGCCGTGGAGGGGCGCAACCACCGGGACACTGTCAAAGCAGACCCACATGCTTACTGAGGTAATGCGTAAACTCGAATGACGTACCTGGCAGCCGTGGAGGTGATGAACCTCTCGGTACAGGAGCAAGGTGAATCGAATGATAAGTGGATTATGGTTAACATTTATTCGAAGATTTCACAGCCCACCAGTAACTCGCCTTAGCCGAGCACATGTTACGCTTAGGCAGGAGCTGGACATCTACTAATTGCCGACCACTGGGTGAGAGTTGTACTCTGATCAGGTATACAAGCAGTGGCATGGGATTGCCGATGCACTGTAAGGTCACATTCATCAAACGCAAATGCGATGAAAGTCTGATGAACGAGATTGCACTTCACTCAAGTGGAAGTTAGGGTTGCAGGACTGAGATGCAAATGGCGTACAGCAGCAGCATCATCATCGGACAGCAATGAGATGTCCAGTGGTGAACTACGTAAAAACGAGTCCATTACTTGCCACGTCGACGATGCAGGCCTCAGTGCGGAACAGGGAAGATCAATGTGTGAAGAGATTAAAAATTGGCGAAATCGTGGAATTAGGAATTCCGTTCAAAGTGTGCGTGCCCAATAACAAAGGTGTTGTCAGTGTGTCCAGAAATAGAGGTAGCCAGTTCGTAAATGGTTTCACATTCGCGTAACTCATGCCTGCCTCCGAATACCGTGCACAGATGGAAGTAAGTAGGAGAACCTTTCAACGGGTTGTACCTGGCAAATAGAACATTTTGGTGGCACCCCAGGAACAACGTAATCGGTTGTTCGGTTGCTCATTTCCATACGGATCAGAGAAACGCGAAAATAAGAAGTTTCGTGTCACTAATTGTCGACTCAGAGTGACACGCGACAACCAACACACACGCGTGCATCGAGGTACAGGTTTGGGCGAACTACAGTGAAGATGGATTTGCATCCGACTGTTAATTGAAACATCCAATCCGATAGAGTCGATAATATGCGTGGAGCCCGGAGTCATTGTGTACGAGTTTTTAGACACAAAACACAGCCGATATGCGAACAAACGAATCACGTTGATTGAACTCACCATTCGAGGGTAGGGAATCCTGCCAAAAGAGTAGATCTCCCATAGAAGGACACCGAAGCTCCAAACGTCGGATTTGTTCGTGAAAAGCTTGGATGGGGGGAGACAACAATGGGGAATAAAAACGACTGGGTGATGAGCATGGAACATCACAAAAGCAAACATGCTCAGGCATGCGTGATGCAGGGGTTTAACCTCTTCCGTTAGGAACAAACAGAGGTCGACCCATATTGTTCGTAATTTGGTAGAGAAAAAATTGAACTGCCGATAATCATAAAAAAGAGAGGCATCAGCAGTACGCCGGTACGCAGTATCAAGGCATCGCTGCCGCGCAACCACCATTGGTCACAGGCGGGCTAATGATACTGCGAGGGTCGCCCGGTCCCCTACAAAGACTCGAACCCGCGCCGTCAGATTACAAGACAAGCTCGTTACCATTTGGGCTATGAGTCAGTGCCGATAAATGGTAAATGAGCTTCACCTTTTGTGATAACAGATTTAGCGATAGCCGAGCAAAAATGGCGTAAATGACAGAACAATCAGAAGGGGAAGAAATACAAAGAGAGATCCGGAGAAAAAAGTGGGGATAAATGTGGAGCGCGAGCTAAATGAAGCCAAAATGCGGCAAACGGATGCGTTCGTGTAACAAAAGTTTACACTGAGCAGCCCCTAAATTAAGAGTTCGAAACGAGCACAGAATCAGTGACTGGATATGGCGATGATAGAACTAACTTATTCTCCGACATGCCACGTTGCCCAATTAAGTTGTAAATCGTTTAGGTGAGTGGAGCTTGTTCACAAAATGAGCAGCCAAAAACAGGCTCACGTGGAATTCGCACACTTCAAACAGTAGAAGCAAGATCCCATGAGATCCCTCTCCCAAACACTAGACCAGTGGGACAATAATGGTTGGTTTTTCTGGAGCAAATGCTATCCTATAAGGCTTCCACACCCCACAATCGTATCTTAATGTAGGGAGTCAGTTTCAATGACTATGGTAGTTTGGAAAGATGTGTCCGGAGCTTTAAGTCTTAACTCGGTTCGAATTGACTTACCCGCTCGCGTACAGCTTCAGGGGCGGTCCACTTAATGGGAATGGCTGCACTATCATGCAGTCCGATATGACGCAAGCCGCCACCGGACAAGTCAGCTTCAGAAGTCGGAGGAGATGAACCATGCGGATGATCGTCGAGTCTCAGCAGATCTGGCTGATGTGGCCACGATGGTGGCGCGCTGGTTGGCGGTCGGAACGGTGGAGGAGACGGGCTTGAGTGGCACAAATCGCGCGCCATACCAAAGTCGGCCACTTTAGCAGTCAGGTGAGGAGACTGTCCGGAAAGAAGTATGTTTCGAGCGGCAATATCACGATGCACAATGCAACGATCTTCCAGATAGGTCAAACCACGACATACATCGCTGGAAGGGATTGAAAAATGGGGATTAAATATGGAAGAACTGGAGTGGGAAACGGCTGTGCCAGCGGAATGATCAATTTGAGAGGGAACGTACATACTAAACTGCAATTTGTCCGTCTCGGTAACCTCGTCCCGTGTGCGTGAATGAAGAAAGGTAAGCAAATTGCCCTGCGCCAAATACTCTGTCACTAAATAGATGGCTTCAACCTCCGGCTCATAGACGATACCCACAAAGGACACCAAGTTGGGATGATTCAGGTTGCTGTGAAACGAGGGAAGGAAGAGGGCAAGTGAAATGTGAATGGGATATGCAATTGGATGCAATGTTTGTTGGCAGATGCTTGTAGAAGAAACTGAGACAACAGGAAATGAGATTAGGTGCAAAGTAAACCGATTGGTATAGGTAAGGTGTGTCAGATAGGAGCCTTGTGTGACTATACAAGAGCACCTTAGGGTCGGAAAACAACACGTGCAGTTGTGCTCACGGGACGAGCGTCAAGTGACCACAGAGTTAAGCGAGAGTTGAAACGCGCTTCTTGTCGATGTTTTAGTAAGAAGGTTTGCCGAAAAAGCTAAGAATACGGGTCGAAGGTAGGGAAGAAGAGTGGGACTCAAAGGATGACGGAGAGGAGCATACAGTAGATCTCCAAATAAATGGAGAAGACAAAAAGACAACAGACATAGTGCAATGGAGGTCAAGGTAAAAGAGCAAAGATGAGAGCAAGAAGGACAACTCACGCCACAACAGCATGTCTGCGTCTTCCGGAAACTACTCCGGAGCTCGGTCGGTAGCAAAGTGGGTTTGCTGTTCTCTATCACATAAAGGAGCATCACCATGAGAGAACAGAGGTCATGCGGATGATAGGAAGACCTACCAGACAACAGGATCGAATGACTAACGGAAGCAAAGTGAATAAAACATCCCTAATGGATCTAATCCATGCTGCATCACAGAAATAGCACCGAGATAAGAAAAACAACTCTTATATTTAGAGTTAAGCTTCAGCGCAGTTCCCAACGCAGATAAATCTTTCTGACGGCATGTCGAAAATAAAAAAATGCAATGTGCCCCTCTTCTGCTTCAAGTCTATTGAAGAGGAAATATATCTTGATAAACATAGTGACAATCAAGCGAAGACAAATTGTGTCGAATAGTATCCGCTTACAAATTTGCATGCACCTAATTAATTTTCGATATCGAGTCGGTGTGTCGCAAGTCAAAGTCCAAATAAGCCTCATACACCCATACAAGCGCAGTTCAGCAGTGTTTCTTAACTGGAAGTAACTCTGTGCCAGTAAGTTTTGCGGAGAAATCGATTGGAGACCTGAGCAGCATGAAGAACTGTTATTAGCTGAACCGCGTTTGGCAATCAAAGTCAAAAAGTGAACTGCGGAACGTAGTTCCGAAATGACTCATTGTTGCTGTTGTTTCCTCATAGCTGAAAACAGGAGTAACTAGATGTATTCTTTACCTTGATAGGCCGTTTTGGCTACACGGCACGATCATTCCATCCTAATCTGAACGTGTAACATGTGCAGAAGATGGCGAGTTATCCCAAATCAACCAATATGGACCAATGGAACATACCCATTGACAATAAGAACAATTAGAACATGGAAAACTGCACTTCAGTCAGATACGGAGAGACGGAAACAGTAGCATTAGGCTATCACCCCCTGGTTTGAGATGCCAAGGAATTTCCGCCGAAGATGTACTAGTTAGTTCAAGCTTTATACTTTCTCCAGCCAAAAGTAAACAAATCTTGTTATAGCTTACGTATACCACAGATTGGTGATATTAAAACCGAGTGGAGCGGGAAATTGGATGTAAAGCGGTAAGCAGCTACAACCGACTAGGACGGTGATGCTTGTCCTACCAGACCCCGAGCATTATAACTATGGAAGGCAGACTTCAAGAACCCGATATAATTCAAACAAACATATAGGTCAATTTAACTGGCATCAACAGTACGCCGGTACGCAGTACCGACGCCTCGCTGCTGCGCAACGACCACCAGTCGCACGTGGGCTAAGGACACTGCGGGGATCGCCCAGTCCCTACGAAGGCTCGAACTGCGTGCGCAAAGTACAAGACAGGTTTGTGATCCTTAAGGTTAAGGGTCGGTTATATAGGTCAGTTAGTGCATGCCTAATCAATTCGTAAATAGATAACGAGAAGCAGCGGAGTGGCAGAGCTTAAGAAATGTATAAGATGGGCGTAGCATGGAGCGTCAACAGTCAAAATGGCTCTCCCATCGCAAGCAGCATGTATACCAATACAAATAGCCTCACGCGAATGCACATACCGCAAGCCCATTGACATGAGGCACCAAATGATACGTGAGAAGAATACGGGGAGCGTAAGCGGATCCCGACCGGGCCCCAGGTAAGACGGGACACAGCAAACAGTGTTGAGACGAAAGAGAGGGTTGTCGTGATCATCACTAGCAGCACACATGAGTCAGCTACTACACCGCAATACAAAACGAAAAGATGTATGAAAAAGGCGAGGAACTAAACATTAGAAAATACAAAATATATATGAAAAGTTGTGGTATAATGCTAAGTATCATATTGTGGATGAACTGTGAGACTGTGGTTGGAGGCGGAAGCTGAGTGTGAGAGACGAAAAAAAGCATAACACAAACACCCTTAAGGTCGACTCGTTGCCATATCAACAAGTGTATCAAAGAAATGTGTTCACCGACTTTAGAATCAAAATTAGCGAGTGAAGAGAGTATCCAACCGACGCCCAGTTCACAGTGAGGGTTTTCATTGCTTCTGACCAAGTCATCCGCTGGCCGTGCCCCTTCTTCTTCCATCCACACCCCCGGCGCGCAAACAACGCACATCACGGGAGTCGGTGGGCTGACATGCGCAACACGTGGCCAAGCCAACTAATCCCAGTGCATGACATATCAGTGCTGAGCGGTTCACTCGCTCTTCTTGCACGAATGAATAAGACGCCGAACACGCTCATTGCTCACAAAGTGTTCCCGTCAGATGTAAGTTAAATCGAGAAGGCAGCCGTGATAGAACGCAACTAATCTCTTTATGTCTAGCTAACTAATGGGCCAGGTTTCATAACCGTACAGGAGGGATGGACGCACGTGTGCCTTGCAAACCCTGCACTTCAGGGCGAGAGTGATGTTGCGCTGGCTTCACAAATGGCGTAGGTTAGCAAAAGTGCCTCGAGCTCTTGCTATGTGGTTCGCGATCTCGTCTTCGCTTCCACTGGCGCTGATATAACTGCTTAGTTAGTTGAATTTCTGAACGTCTAGATGAGCCTCACTAAGGGTCAGTGCAGGGTTTGGTTCTGTCTGCCAATCTTGGAGAAGAACCTTGCATTTCGAGGGTGTAAAGCAGAGCCCAAACGGCTGACAGTCAGTGCTAATTTGTTCAGTGTTACTTGGCACGTTTGGGAACTGTCACAGACTAGGGCAATGTCGTCAGCATATTCCAAGTCAAAAAATCGTTCAACTGAGAACACCTCAACACCTTTTAAGTCGTGCTCAGCGGACGCGGCTTCCGTGACTAGGTCGATGGTGAAGTTAAAATGGAAAGGAGACAGCCGGCAACTTTGTCTCACCGCTGGATATATTAAAGGGTGGTGACAGTTTGCCATAAGTGTTAAAAGAACGGGTCGCATAAAAAAACCAACTCGCTATCGATGCCTTCACTCTCATAGTGGATCCAGCGGTAAACATTGCGCTAGTCCTAAAGTCATCTAGGTATAAAAATTCGCTGGATATTCCGTGGTTCCGGTTCCGACAAAAGATGAAGCTGGAGTTGTCTGCAGTGGTTATCATTAAGCATAACTGACTAGCAGCACCACTTGGTTGAACGTGCTAATAGAATGATGACGTCATCTACTATGCGAGTTCAAATGTATTTAAGGCGATAAGTTGGTGTTAAACCGCAGATGTGACCTCAAGGTCAGATCATAGCCAAAGACATATAAGGACAACGTCGTAGTGTAAACCTAAGGGATTTCACCAGCTCATTCAAATATGGGCAATGCGAGAGCAGAACAAGCTATTCCTAATTTCTTAGACGAACCGGTAGGAAATATGAAGCGAAAGTTGTGTTACTAACGTTCATAGAAAACTAAGATCCCGAGAACATTACGTCAATTCCGGTAGAAAAGTGTATTTAAACGAATTCCGATTCAGCAGTTAGCAGAACGTTCACACACGCAGATGGGAGAGTAAGATCTTCGGTAGATGTTAGAAGTATGGATAACAGGGTGACTGTTCACAAACAAGAGTACGTAGACAAAAGCAATGCAAACTATCATATACGTGACAGTTGTTTCCAACCGAGACTGCCATTGTTTTCAACAAGAGGGCCGCTCTTGTACACAAATTTACAGAAGGAAATAGCGGTTGTTAATGACTACAATAACCGTTACTAGGTGCGTCATCGGGATAACCTTAGCTTAGCTGGTGCATCCGATAGAGTTCACGAATGACAGCTAATTGCTCCCAAATTCTCCCCAATCCCACCTCAGACACACACTGGCCACATTGTGTGAATAACAAGGGCGGGTAGGTAAAATGATTGAGAGACGTCAGTCGATTAGAGTAGGAGGTTCTAGAAGCACATTGTGAAATACAATCTGTCAAATCGACCTCACAACGAAACAGAATTCGACGGCATATGTTTCTCATGTCAGACATGTAGTTATGACGTGAAGCAATGAAAATTGTAAGAAAGCTGTCCCGCTGAGGCTGCTTTGTTGTCGCGCGACCTCACGATGTTTGCAAAACGTAATAAGCCTCGGCCCCGATTACATGCTTAATGAATCAAGATTCCACATCGTCCCAAGCACACGGACGTAATTTACGGTTGATCAGCAGCGAAGCACCACGGCAAATACCGATGAAGGACTTTTAGTGATGACCCCGTTGGTGGGGAAGTCGATTAGAAATTCAACTAGCTTGGCAGCTGCATCAGCACCTATGGCATGGAAGATGAGATCACGTACCGCATAGCAAAAGCTAGAGGTGTTTTTTGCCGATCCTCGCCACTTGTGGCCCCGGTGCGACATCCCTTTCGCCCTGAAGGGTAGGCTACAACGCAGTCATCGGCTCAACTTTACTACATGGTCGAGAAACCTGGTTCATCAAATCAACAGAATCAAAGAGGCTTGTTAGGTTCAACCACCGATGCCCTCGTAGGTTAGTTCACATCTGGTAAGAACATCGCGTGGGCGTGTTCGGCGTCTTGTTCATAGTTCATGAAGAGAGAGTGAACCGCTCACAACATTTGTACACGCACCGCGCGAGCAATGAGCGTATTCAATGCCTCTATTTTGATACAAGGAAAGTGAATCAATCGCTCAGCACCATTA